CCACTCCCTGCCCCATTCTGCACAGAAGGCAGTGGCCACTCTTGGGCTGGGTGGTGGATTTTCCGATCCCCTGTCCGGCACTCAGATGCTCGGCTAATCTGGTGTCGCTATTTTTATCTCCTTGGCCCATACGGGCCCGCTTCCACACCCAGCCACCCGCCATCCACCCGGCCTGCAGGAAGCACAGCCTGGGCGCTGCAATTAGCACACAGCCAGGCAGGAATCACCCACCAACCCCATTACACTCTCAGCAGAGCGGCTCAGTTTCTGGCCACAGAGTCGTAGAGAAGACATGAGCCGCTCTTTCTTATCTTCTGATTTTAATGCTGTAGCACTCCACCAGGGAATAACATGCGTTATGTGTTATTGCCTGATGATATGATCATACGTAGGCTACACTATTCCCTCCTCCTACACTGAAAAAAATGATGCATTGAATTTACTTTATTCAAATGCATACATCATCGCTGCATTAATAAAATGTTACATCAACATAGTTATTGCCAAAGGTAAGTAAACCATAAGACAAAAATGTCTTGTAGTATATTTTATTCATGTGGAAATCATGTACACGTTTACATCAAGTAAATTCAGCACATTGCTGTTATCTTGGTGTATCTGAAAAAAATCATTAGATGACTATATAGGTCCCACTTTTTTGGATGGCCCCTTTATAGGTTATCCACAGATGTTCAAATTATTAACAAAGTATCTGGTGAGAATCAACTGAATCTCAACCACACTAAAGTTAGGTTTAGGTAAGTATGAAGTGTTTTTAGGTTTTACTTTTGGATTGAAGTTACATTTATGGTTAGGACTTGGCTGTGGTTTGGGAAAATTAGGGTGAATTTAATAAATATTTAGTTACTTGCAAGGTAAGCATTAAAAAAGCATCTGCAATGGGCTATCCAAATAAAGTATCACCCCACATTATTTGCTTTACCTCTATCAACTAAAGTAAATCTCACTTTTCTCTTGATGATTACGACTGTGATTTACATTGTCATTTTGCCCATCTGTTATGTTATAGCCTCCATAACTGAAAAGAGACTGCTGTTACTGTGCTAACTGCATGTGCAAGATTCTGTATTTCTGTGCTTTAAGCAGTACCTCTTGCCAGAATCCCCCCTCCCTGTGAGAACTGTGTGAACACACCTACCCCCAGTTTCCATTAATCTGCGCGCCTCTGCATTCTTTATTTCCCTTCAAAGGGACAAGCCCAGCCGTGACATCAATCACAGGATGCGAATATTTATCCGCTGCTAATTTCCATCAATAGCCTGGAGACAGGCTTAGCTGACAAAACTCATTCCCGTGCCGAACAAAACCTCTTCCATCGAGTTGCTCCCCCCTCCCCACCTCTGCCTGTTAAAAGAAAACGTTTCACAATAAATGCAGTTAACGTTACCCTCACCCCATCCCCCCAAACACACACACACTTGGTGCTTATCAAATTAATGTGGTGTATAAAGAGATACTCATTGACGATATATAATGGCTGCTGACTGCCTGGAATGGCTTAATAATGACGGGTTGAGGATTGCTGGTCTTGTGTGGCAGATGCTTCTCTGTGTGGTACGGTACAGCATCCGTCTTTTGTGTAGTAAAGTTATTTGAATTGGGTGAGTGGTCTCTTCCCTTTGTTCCACGGTTCTGTCTCGCTCTCATCAGGCAGTTTTTTCTGTAGTGATTATGCACCCAGCAAGTTGGGCCTAAATAGTTTGACCTGTTTCCTCTGCTCTCTTGTGAGCAGCCTCTTGAGTTAGCTGTGGGGGGTAGTTTTTTTGTGAGGGGTGGGCGTAGTTGTGGAAGTGAACTCCTTTGTGTTGTTTAGATGGTTCTCACAGTTGAGCCCCCACATGTACCCCCACATTCCCATCCCTTCCCCCAGCCAGACAGCCAGCTGCCCCATGCCAGTCTGTAGAGCCCACGCTCAACCATGGCTTCTGGGACACCACACCTCCCCCAAGAGCCAACTGCAGAATGCCCGCCTGAGAGTGATGGCAGAGGGGCAACTGGCTCACAGCCAAGCTTGTGCACTAGGCAGTGTCACGGAGCTCACGCAGAGCTTCACTCTGTCTGTCAGAGTAGATGAGGCTATCACTAGAAGAGCCATCTTGGCTTTGGTTGAGTGCAAGCAAGGGGCAGTAAAGACAGGGTTTCCTTTACATAATAAGCAGTCCATATTCTTAGTGATGATGTTATCTGCTGACTATACGGTGTTGATCTAAAGCTCCCCACAAACTTGTTTTCTTTATCAAATTGGTTGAATCGATTCTCAATGTTGACTTACACTCTCTGAATTTAAGATGAAACCAGGTAGGAGTAAGGCTTGGAATCGATTTGAATAGGGGGCACGAAATAGCTGAAAACAGGGACAAGAGAAAAGTAGGGTGAAATGAATTCTCTATTGTGATAATAGGTACAAAGCAAGGCTGCTTAAAACAGGAAGTCTGGGCCCTCTGGCTCCAAACATATGCATGCTCTTGGAAAAGTCCATTCAGTGCCAAGGCCACCTGTGTATTGGAAAAAAAGCACAAACTTGTCAGGCTGGGGGGTTAGTAGGTCTTAAGCTCTTAATCTTGGGACAAAGAAGACTTGGGTGAGGAGGCATGGAGGTGGAAGCTGGATCCCTAACAGAACTATCGGGCTGCAGTCCCTAATGAGAGCTGAGTTCAAAAACTTTGACAGAAGGGCCACTGGGATGTGGAACTCTCCTCCGTTGAGCAGGAGCTCTTCTCCAGTCTCTTTGTTTCCTGTTCACTTGATTGTGTTGTCAGACCTTGATGTAAGCAGAGTGGTGTGTTCTGTGTTTGTGTGTGTGTGTGTGTGTGTGTGTGTGCATGTAGTTAATTAAAAGTGTCTGGAAATGTTTTAGTGGTGGGAAAGGAGGGGAGCCTGATTTTACGGCATTTGACACAGGCTCTGAGCTCTGTTCTAATAGGAGCAGGCAACGTCGTTGCTAGTTAGCTTAGCCTCCAGCTGCTCCCTAGGGGATAGGAATGGGGGTGTAGGGGGTTATGGAAGCCCTTGGCCAGAGACTGAGTGATGTTCTTGATTCAGCTCCTGCTATACCCACTAAAACTGATGAATAAGATGTAGTAGATTTAGTAAGATAAATGGTAGACTAATTGGTTTCCTTTTATTGTTTTGCAAACCAGATGAGAACAACACTGGATCATTCTTTCGACTTCATTACAGGTGCTTCCCCACAATATGCTGTTGCCACAAAGGTAGTGGGACACGCACAAACTCCATCCCTGCTCTAACAATGGGATCCACCCGGCTGGGAGTGCCCATGAATCAACTAGGATTAGCCTTGGATTGTCTGGGATTATGTGGAATGGAGCAAGGATTAGTGCTGATTGCCAGTTTCTGGGGGTGTGAGGGGCATAGGCAGTCCGTATAGCCCCTGACTCATCCTCTGATTCAGGTCCGTTCAAACAAGCACATGTGGAGAAAATAGCAGAGAGAATTAGAAGATTGTAAAGCAAGAATACCAGACAGGTGAAAGGTGTCATTGCCCAGGTGTCATGTCTGAGAAGTATAACAGTCTCAGTTCATAAACTAGTCCTATGGCAAAGAAAATTTTGATGGAGTAATAGGTATTACAGGTCCTAACACATACACTGCAATGGAATCAGTTTACAAAAGAAGACATACAAATATGAGAATGTTACCAGCATAGTATAGACAGAATCTTAGATTGTGATCTGTTGTGATACAGGAAGTACATATTTTATTGAGTCTCATGAGGCTGGTTTTCTGAGCATCCCCAGCAAGTTGAACCCCAGGCCTAGTGGCTTGATGAAAGGCTGTGGGGAGTTCAGCTGCAGCTTCAAAAAGCAGCTCTCCCCTCCTCCCTCCTCACAAGCAAACCCCACAACAGATTCCTGCTTTATTTTGCCTTCACGTTTACCCTGTTGCCATGGTTACTCCCCTCACATTGGAGGTGCTACCTTGAGGAGCCATTCTTCGATCACCTGACTGGAGATGCTGACAGTTTTTTGTTTTCATTCAACATCTTAATAGTTGTACATTCTGTATAAGCACACATCTGCTGTAAGGCTGGTGACTTTTGATCACATATGGGAACCTAGTGGGCATAACAGGTTTTTAATATTTTCATCTTTTTATTATCCCCTAGACAGAAGCAACCACTTTTTCACAAAGTCACTTATCTTTTAATATACCAATATTAATATGTATTTGAGCAGGCTGAATGAAATTAGTAGTGCCTGAAGAGAAAGAATGATGGATTGAGTATGCTCCTCTGAAATTGAGTGGCCAAGAGATAAAATGAACAATAATGTTAGCATCTTCATCTTTTTCATTTGATTTGTCTCTGGATATAGAAGTAATGAAATACAGTATAGTCATGCAAGAGTAAAGGGAAAACAAGGCTCTCTAGGGCGAGTAGAGGTTAGAAGGGAAAAGAGAGGGTGAGACATGGAATATAGAACGACTGTGAGTGGGAGGCAGATTCGTCTGACTCCATTATCTGCGCTTACTCCTGGCTCAATCACTCGATATGTTTCCTCTCTCAGAATGGGAGAGAAGGCTGGCGAGAGGCCAGGCTGGCACAGGCTTCAAACACAGCCCAAGCCAAGCACATTGAACCAGGGATTAGCCGACATCCACACCAGGCTGAAGGAGGGATCCCCCAGCCTCAAAAAAAAAAAGAGCAAGATTTTTTAGCTCGTGCCAGCCTTCTCTCATATCAGTCAGAATGCCAAGTTGCAAAAATCACTCCATCTTCAATGTTTATGTGATGTGCATGATGAATTAGAACTTATTTTTTAGCCTTTGATGTCAAAAATTTTGGTGGACATCATGCATGCATTGCATGCCAGCCAGTCAAAACCAGTTATTCTACAAGAAAATCTACGAGGATTGCTTGTGCATGGCTGCTCCTTTAAAAATAAATGGGAAATTTGAGTAAATCATCTCATAAGTTGTTAATAGTCTGTCCTCTCTTTTCTTTTTCTGTTCATCTACAGAACTCCATACGCCACAATCTGTCACTCCACACTCGTTTCATCCGTGTGCAGAATGAAGGTACGGGGAAGAGCTCCTGGTGGATGCTGAACCCTGAAGGAGGCAAGGCAGGGAAAGCACCCCGGCGACGGGCTGTCTCTATGGACAACAGCACCAAGTACCTGAAGAGCAAAGGCCGGGTGAACCGCAAGAAAATGGTTGGAAGAGCAGGATTGGGCTCGGTGGCCCGGGTGGCATTCCATGGCTCCCCAGAGCAGACCAGCCCAACAGGAAAGCCTGGGACAGGAGCAACAAGTGTAGGGGAAGAGTTTGAGACATGGACAGACCTCCACTCTCGGGCCAGCTCGGCAGCTTCCACACTTAGTGGACGTCTGTCACCTATTATGGCAGAAGGGGAGCTGGAGAACCCAGAGGAGGGGCGGCTATCCTGCTCCGCATCGCCACGTCTCTACCCTAGTCCCTCCAGCACCCGCTCCCCGGCGGCACACTGCCCTCCTGTGGAGCTGCCACAGCTAGCAGATCTCACTGGGGCCATCAGCCTGGAAGAAGGGTACCATCACCAGCCACCACGCCACAAGCGCCCTGCCTACCACTACAGCAGTGGGTCAAAGGCCCAGGGATCCTACTGCAGCCCCATATATGGTCAACCAGGTGTTGGCATGCTGCGCCATCATTCGCCCTTGCAGACCATCCAGGAGAACAAGGCCTCCAGCTTCTCTGGCAACTTGCAGACCTACTCAGGCACAAATGCCTTGCAGAGTCTACTTACTGGAGGCCCACAATACTGTGCTAAGGACTTGATGCTTGGCCAGGAGCATGATGCCATGATGGTTCCTCCTAGTAATGGAACCCACAGCCACCATCATGGCCACAACAGCCACAATGGCACACACAATCACAATCCTGCTCATAGCCACAATGGTACCCACAGTCATAACCAGCCACACATCTCTGCTTCGAATGCAGCAGCCAATCCTGCTCACAGCATGAATCACAGCCTGGGCCAGAACCATCGGCCTCATGGCCCTGCCACCCTTAGCCGACCCAGCGCTGGCCACATGCAACCCTACAACCATAAAGCTCCATACCTGTACAGTCCTCCAGCTCATGCACACCTCCCTGCCTCCACCACACTGCCCCCAAACCCTGCAGGCATGCAGGGTGTCCCTCAGGACTCCTGCCATTTGGCCACTGCCCCACACCCTCGCCACAACACTTTTCCAGGCCCACACCAGCAAGCCATGGCCGATGGTCCGTACCATCAAGCTCAGGGCATGGGGGGAGGAGGTAGTGGTTACCAAGGCTACCACCACCCCCACCACCCTTACCCCCACGAGCGGCTGCCAGCAGACCTGGATGTGGATGTCTTCCATGGCAGCCTGGACTGTGATGTGGAGTCTGTCCTCCTCCATGACATCATGGACTCAGGAGAGGAGATGGACTTTAACTTTGATTGCTCCCTGGCACAGGGCATGGGCATCGGGATGGGTATGGGCATGGGCGTAAGCATGGGCCTTGCAGGCCCACAGCAGAACCACAGCAACCAGAGCTGGGTGCCTGGCTGAAACCCCCACACCTGCCCTGCCATGAACATTCTCAGAGACCAAACTTTCTGCAGGCCTCCTTAGAGGGGAGATGCACTGTGCTTGATTCACACATTCCTCAAATAAAGGACAAGAATCCAGAAGACATTCCTTAGTTTCACTTTCTGAGTTTCTGTCTTACTTTGCCTGCTCATCTATCTGTGTGCTGTTCTGAAACGTGTGTCCCCCTTTTATCCAGTACACACATCTGTTACACCCCGCTTAACGTCAACCACTTTTGCTCTTGCTGACAGAACGTGATGACAATCTCGACTGTGTTGCCCAACATTGCCTTCTTCTCCAGTCAAAACTAAACTCTTGAGCACTTTAACTGCGTAAAACAAATCCGTATCTCACTCTCACAATGGGGAGCTGGCTCCCGGGCGGCAGGAGCTGTAGCTGGCATGTTGTTTGCTGCACAAGTGGGAAAATCTCACACCCATAGGGGGCCTGTATGCAGAAAAAAATGAAACAGATTTCTCTGTTTAGAGAGGAGTTTCAGAGGTTTAGTTCTCAGAGGTAGTTCAGCTTGCTTATTGACAGAGTAGCCTCCACTACTTTTATTTTCATTAATTAAATCCCACATTGTTTGAGAACTAGGCATTTGCCCTGTTTGGTTAACCTTTGCTTAATCAAAATCTGATTTTGATTGCATAACTTATGATAACTGATAACCATACATTTTTTCAATAATCTAATTTTAAATCTCAGTAAGCTAGTTTGTAACCTAGTCCCTTATTTTTAACAATCTGATTCTGTCTGATAGTTGCACTTCTTTTAATGAGCCTTCGGACAACTCTACTTTAATTGAAATAAAGATAAGCAGAAAATTTCCTTGTTTTCTTGTTCTCTGTCTGTGTTAGAGCTCACCTCTTCTCCACGGCGATAGCTTCAGCTCCCCTGCCAGCCCAGACCGGCCCATCATCCTTCACTGGCCCATTAACGGTGGCTTGATTGAAATTCAGCGTCTTGTTTTTAATCTCCAAAGTGATGCTGCAGTGATGCATCATTATTGCAGATTGAATACAGCCCCCCCCACTAGGCCTCTCCTCCCTCTCTCACATAATGTGTTGAGTGATGGGCATGATTAACACACAGTCATCCCGCACTCAGGGAGTCAGTAGCATTGTCCGTCTGTCCAGAATAGGACACGCAAGCACGGAGAAAATATGATGTGACAAAAGAGCAAGGCTTTAGTTTCCCATTCTTTTAAGCTAAAACTGTTTTGATTCTACAAGACAGTTTGGTCTCTCCTCTGTGTGGCTGAATTGGGAAGTGTTGTGTTGTGTAGTATCGCCATGTCTGCTTCCCTTTTATGGGTTTCTTTTTGAGGTGCTATACGTCAGGCATACTTTTGACCAGGTGTGATTTTTAAGTCTGTAATCAGAGACCATGAAAACATCTGTCAAAATTTTGATCTGTTTTCTTTGTTGTCCTCTGTTTGTAAAAGAAAAAAAAGGCAAACAAAGTTGAAAAGGGCTTGAACAGGGAATGGTTTGTTATAGTGGTTAGATCAGCGAAAGAACCCTTGCCTCTTCCATGCCTTCTCTCATCCTAGCTGTGTGCGTGTATGTGTGTGGTCTCTATAGCTACAGCACCACACTCCCCCTGAGCCCCTGTCCCTCTCCCCCTTAAGCACGGCTCTGCTCCATAAAGCAGGCGGGAGGGAAATGGGGCGCGTCATTATGGCAAAAGGTCAAGGATAGCTCACTCCATCAAAACTCTCACTCAGATAAACGCTACTCAGCCGGCCCGGGTTTTGTGATGCTAATCTGTGACGCAGTGGGAGATCCCACATACAATTTTCGATGTCATTATTTAATATTTGTCCTAGTCTTCTGATATGTCAGACCACACACTGCGTCCCCTGCTTTGCCTGTTAACCACAGCCCTGTGTGAGCTCCATCACTGCAGTACCTGCCACTCTGACTGACTCATCGGACGTAGTGCTTAAAAGAAGACGTGTCAATGCTGATATCAGAATAGTAAGCTCTAATATTAAATATTTAATATATAACAAACGACTTATAATGTTATTGTATGGAAGCGAGGACTGACTTATGTGTGTCCCAACTCCCTCCTTCCTCTTGTGTGATCACTCTTTCTTTATTGTTCCATGACCTTTTATTTTGTACAAAAATCTATATATTGAGAATATTGTATTATAGTTTTTAAGATGGAAAAAAAGAATATCACTTTCATTGTTTCTTTTTTTAAGAGAATGTATCTCATCATTTGGTGACTGATAAATAAATGAAAAGAAAATGCTAACCATTCTGTACATGCCTAGTATGTGATTTATATTTTGATGTTACATTGCATAATGTCACTTTATAGCCAGTTTTGCTGTTTATATGTGGAAGATCACAGAAGATATTAGGAACAGCTTTGTAGCTTAGTTGCTCAGAGTACTGAACAATGCTATCATATTAAAGTGATTATTGCATTATATTAATAAAAGGTCAGGAGTTATTTTTATATTATTTATAATGGTATTACATACAAGTGATCCTAGGACTCAGGTGTAGCTCTGCAAGCTTATTCACATATGAACTACAGAACGTCTGATAGAAATTAGGTCTGTGTGTACGGCACAGGTAACATTCATGTGTATTTGGGGGGTGTGGTGTACAGTGTGCATGTGAGAGTGAGAGAGAGTTTGGGGGTGGGGTGGTGAGTATCTAATAAGGCTTGTTATCGCCTCTGAAGCTGTAGGTTGGTCACAGCTGTCATAGTCCCATCTGAGGCGTTTTCACAGAGGGAGAGTGCCTCTCTGCACAGCCATACTGTCTGCCCCCCAGGGAGCCTCCCTCCTCCCACTCCGGCTGAGATGTACGCATTTAATTGACTCAACTCTGCCAGAGCCTCACTAGAGAGAGAGAGAGAGAAAGCAGAAATGTGCAGAAGAACATACTACAGATTTCATGATTGAAGGAAAATAGAAACAATTGGTGGGAGAAAGGTAGATGATAACTATTCCTGCCTTCCTGCTGCTCCACCCTCTGATCAAAACCTGATAACTCTTTTATTTTTTCTAATTTATTATTTTCTTCACAATATGTGAAAAGGCCAACTGCCCTTTACAATGTATGAACATTTCATGGCGAATGGACTACACTGTATCTGTACAAAAGCAGAAAATGTACTGGCAAAAAATGATCTGTACTTTTTCCAAAAAATTAACAAATTCTTTTAAATTACAGTACTTCATATACAGAACATTTTGTAATTTTACAGTTGTGTTTATAAAAACTCACGTTTCCCTCGACTCAAAAGTGAAAAATATTCTGTATCCTTAACTAGAACCCAACCAATATATTAGTTGGCTGATATCAGCCATTATTGACAACATGCATATTTAGCAGTATAAATAAACATATCGTTGATGATGTGTCAATAATCTGTGACTTTTTGTTGGGCTTCAACCCATAGATTTAGCAGTATCAACTAAAATATCATTGAAAATGAGCCAATAATCAGTGACCTTTTTTTCTTGTGGATTCAACCGTGATATCCTGACAATGGGGAAAAATCTTACAAGGCTGCCTACTGAGAACCCAGTTCTAGCGACTGCTAAGGTTAAAGTCACCACCTGTTTTCTTTTATCACAGCTAAACAAGCTGTACTGGTAAATTCAAACCAAAAACACTATTTTGGTGAAGAGAACTGATGAAAAATAATAAAATAAGAGAAACTAAATGCTCAAAAAATTCTGGGTAACTCTGCTCTCCATATATATATCATATACATTCATCACCTTGGTGAAAAAGTAGAGAGGGACTCGTGATGAAGGTCCCATCCTATTTGACTGGCATGCTCTCAGCTGCAGCTATTAACAGTAGGGTGACAGGTGTACTACCTAGCATGCAACATGCGCTTATGGAATATGGAAAAGTGACAGTGAAATGCAGAAATGGAAAAATTCTGTTTCAACTGTCCAGAGGAACAATCCATAAAAAGACAGATTTTTTACACTGATATAGAAATGGTACAAAATGAAGTCTCTTTACATAATGCACATAAACATTATCTCATTTTATCTCGTTCCCAGCTTTGAAAAAACATGAATTTTACTCCTTGGACAGCCCCATGACATGATTTGTATGCCTTTTCAGAAAACGTAAAAAGTACTGTTTTTTTGTTCTCAGTGGAACCGGTGGGAAACTATGCAGAGTCAAAAGTTGCATCAGTTAATCAGTACAATCTTACTGAAGTAAGTCTTATTAAAATATCAATAATATCCCCTTCAAAGATTACACATACCAGTGTGATAGTTGTAGATGTTTTATACCATGATTTTCCTACTTCCTTTTGTAGAATGCAGACATCATCTTTCTTAAATGTATATTTGAAGTAAATGGTCATGTGACTAATTATGCCAGATACATTAAAAAATTCATATGAAATCAAGATAACATAATTCAATTTGATTTGTAATTTTTAGTTTACTGTTCAGTGGAAAGCATATTCATGACATAAATATCATACTAAGAATATAAAGTATATTGGGGATATTATCCATCAAAAGAGATTTGTACACTCAGATGTCAGTTTATTAGGTACATGTAGGAGCATGTAGGTATAAAGTGCTAAAACTAGAGGTCCCTCAATCCAGTTTCTTTGTCCCTGATCTGAATAACTTGATGTTGAGTATTTGATCCAATCAGATCTAATATTTGTGTTTTAATAATAATCCAGCCACACAATTTAGGTAAGATATGTAAGTTTACTCTGACAGACTCAAAGAGGAATAGCTGCATGCTCACATTTTATGTGTCAGCATTTAGAAGAAAGGAGGCTAGTTCACACACAGCAGAAACACCAGGACTGAAGATATTAAAAGCTTTTTTCCACTTAAATAACAGTTCCACACTGCTGATACTTTAAACAGCTTTGTTAACATCTGAAACATGCCTCACTGCTGACATTTGTGAAAAGTTTCTGTTTATAGTATCTCTATAACCTTATAGAGTGCAATATAAGAAACAAAAGATCAGTGGTTTGGGCTTAATATAGCCAATTCCCAGTCTGCTAAAATATGCCTGAATCAGTTCTAATCCACTGGATCAGATCAAATCAGGATATACCTGTATAGACCTATTGCTCACCTGTTGCTAGGCAAAATTGCTCAGGCACCCTCTGCTCTACCCCATTCATCAGTGGGAAGGAACAACCATAGGACCACTGCTTAGTCATACTGTATACCTTTGTCAGTGGTCATTTTTTTAACCACAGGACCACTGGATGATTTTGGTTGAAAGAATATCCTTAACTCAGCAGTGACACTGAAGTGTTTAAAAGCTCCAGCAGTGCTGCAGCCTGAAATACTCAGCAGCATGCCCTACCGTGTCAGTATCACTGCTGTGCTAAGAATGGTCTACCATATAATGGTGCCAAATAAAATCTGGTCAGTGGTGGTCCTATGATATTTCCTTTCCATTGACTGACATGCTAAAGGGGACTGTCCATAATTGCGCACAGCAACAGACTGAGCTACAGACAGTAATTGCTTGCATACAAAGTGCACCTATATGGTAGATGTAGCTATAAAAATGGCCAATGAGTGTAGCTACAAGGTGTGCAATGTTTGAAGAAGAGTTTGGTATTGTTAGAGATTTTATCTATTAACAAAAAAATACATTTGAGGCCAAAAATGATCGTTTCATGGATGGTTAACTGTGAGCTCAGCTGAATGTTTATTCCCCTTGCTGTTAAACATTCACTGACATGTTGGAATGGGCAACACCTCAGAGAGTGCGTGTGCCATCTCCAAACGGCGGCTGTGGTGAGACAAGGTGAGAACACGTTGTTAATGCTGTTTGGTGTTGCTCTCGTGTTCACAACCCCCCCTTAATCTCTCCCTCACTCCTCCCTGCTTCACTCTGGAGTCTTTAATCTCAACATCTCACGTCAGGCCATGGATCTCTCTGACTAACACACACACACACACACACACACACAGAGGCTTGTTAATTCATGGCAGTCCGACTGGCACTCTTAATTACTGGCTGATAGTAAAGAGTAATTAGTGAGCAGGGCTAATGGCGGGAGCTTGAGAACATTCTGGATCGGGGGGAGATAGCATCGTGGCAACAGGACTCCAGGGATGGCCAGAGGGAGGGCGAGGAAGGCACAGGATTTGTGATCATGCTGGGAGATCCTAATCTACTCTGTATGGATCAAAGAAAGTGAGACACCTATAGGACAGCCTCTCATTCAAGGAGGCTGGGTACGGTGGTAAGAGTATTGGTTTGGATGAGCAGGATAATAGAACTGACTCTAGAATGCAGTCTTTGTTCAGTCATATCGAAACCTCATAGCTTCCTTTTTTTTTTTTTGCCAGATGCCCTTTGTATTGTTTGGACTTTTCCCAATGACTAATATAAATGTAATGATGTGTCTCTGCAAACAAAGATCAGAATGGTCCAGGTTATTGTCTTTTCAGAGGTTTGTAGTGGATGTGAAAACTGGACAATAAAAAAGCAGGATAGGAAAAACAATGATTTGAACTTGTGAAAACTTTTAAGAGTATCTTGGATACTCAAATGGATCCTTGACCAAGCCAAGCCTCACCTCTCACTGGAAGCCCAGATAACCAAACTGAAACAGAATCTTATTTTGGATGTATTATGAGAATAACCAATTCACTGGAAAAGATTATGGTAGAAACATATATAAAACCATAAATATATATAAACAACATAAAATAGATATTTATATTTGTTAATTTGTTATTCCAGGCATTTTGGCTCCACCACCTCCAGCTTGGTGGAAGTAATGACATTTTAAAATATTGTTATTATTATTATTAGTAGTAGTAGTAGTGATAATAATAATAATAATAATAATAAATAATAATAATAATAATAATAATAATAATAATAATTGTGCATACATATAAACAATAATATTTCTGCATGTATGTATTTGAATATAATGAGCTTTTTTAGAAAATCAACATATGACATGTAATGGAAAACATTTTTATTTTTGGTGGTATTAATCGTAATATAGCATTGATATACAACATTTATGATAAAAAAAAAAAATGAAAGTGATCTACAGTGTGCTTTGGAATTCAACCCGTCAGTTAGCAATGCACTTATCCAGTATCTCCCAGATTTCATACTCACACATGTGTAGATAGATAGACAGATAGATAGATCATTTCTCGTTCAAGACTA